GCATTATATCTCATCTTACTTTTTGTTTTTTTGATTATTTCCTCCTATTATTCTTAACTATTCATTGATGTGAAACATCGTTTCCAAAAAGAAAGTCTAAGAACATCTGTGAAAGGTCAAACACCAAAACACATCTCTTTGAAATCACTCAAAAGTCAAAATTGAAAAACTTTTGCAAAACGGAGAAGTATAAATTAAACAAGGTATATCGGATACGTAAAATATTATTGCAAGATAAATAATAATGATAATAATAATAATGTTAAATATATATGCCATTAATGGTGTTCTCACGAGCGAGTATTATGTGATTTTTTAAATATTAATTCAAGAGTAGGAAGGTGTGGTTGATATGCATTTGACTTGTGAGAACTCTTTGTTTTGATCATTCATCCTTCTTCTGCATTGGTTGTCTTGTCTTTATATGCCCATAAAATATAAAAAATATAAAAATGGGGTGCATTTCATATGACACGTGGTTTGATTTATTAAATGCAATTAAGTCAACTCCTTGTTGTACTTTCTCATCTGTCTACTCTCCCAATTTCTTGGCAATAATCAACAAATTACACTGCTCCCATCCCAATCATCAACTAGTGACTCCCTTAATTGTAATTTGAAGTATGTTGCAAAATTAATTGGCTCTTTCTTGTTTTCAACTTGTTGTTCCAAAGTTATGTTTGGGCATTATGCCACTTTTGACACTTTGGACAAACATTCACCAATACAAGAGAGTGTCCAATATCTGTAAGAAGGATGACACCAAAAGTGGTTTTATTAAAAAATTGCGTACATTAATCGATCCCTTAGAGTATCTTATGGAGTTATGGTCCAACATAAATTTTATCATAGTATCAGAGTCAGTTTTAGCCTACCTTATTTTTTAAGGTGTATGTCGATCTAGAAGTTCATTCCTAATGATTCGTTAGTCTTTAGCTCAGTTGTCCGTATGAAAACGGTCGTAGCCCATATAATTGACCCGATTGTTTGTCTGAAAGTTCATGCTGAACGATTCATGATTTTTTTGGTGTTGACACTTTTGATCCTTTCATTTTCTGGGGGAGGAGAAGTCAATTCAAAATTGTCCAGTTGTACACTTGAGGAGGAATATTAAAGTATCCTAGAAAAATAATCAATATACTGAGTTGGACAAAGAAATTAATTGAATTTAATCTTTTATTGTGATTCAACTCAAGTATCTTATATATGATCCAATCCAGTATTATTTTCCATCACAAATTCTATCATGATCTAGTGTCTAATCTTTGAATTCAAGATTCAAGTTGTGTCCGGTGGAGAATTTTTTTAGTTCAGATTCTTCATGCTATAACAATTTTTAAATTTTTAGATGAATTGTTTTTTCTTTGGCATTATACAAAAGTCTTGTTGATGTGGAGTACGTACGGGTACGTAACAGGTTATATGTATGATGTCCCTTATTTGTTTATTTGCACTCACGCTTCAATTAATATTCCAAACAATTTTTGTGTGTAACTTTTGTTTTTTGAACTCAAAGACTCCGTATTAATTAATTTAAGTTCTTATTAATTGAGTTGATTATTTGACCAAAATAGAAAATATTAAGGATAATGTCTAAAAATATGTTAAGGATAATATCTAAAAATATTCACTGTTGGGACCGTGGGTAACCTCACCATCATAGCTTCATTTCTATATTAGAGCATGTTCTTTAGGACTGAAAAAAACTAGATATTGAGAGAAACTGGAAGAAACTAGAAAAAATTAGATGAAACTGGAAAATCTAAAAAAAAACTTTAAAAAATTTATTTTAGTGTATTTTTATATTATTCTCATTCTAATTCTTGTTGTTATAAATTATTATTATTATTATTACTATTACTATTATTATTATTATCACGTTATCTTAATTAATACCTTTAAGATAAAAAAGTATTGTTATTTTTCATACACAAAAAAACTACTTTTGTAAAAAAGAATTAATTGAAATATAAAATTAGCATAAATATCAAAATGTTAAATTTTTAAAAGTTATTGTGGTTACGTTGCACCTCAATTTATTATGAAATATTTATTATAAAATAATATGTTTGTAATTATACTTTATACGTTACAAGATTTTGTTTTAAATATCAGATAAGTCACACAATGTAATCAAACCTATTTTTTCTTTCATGATTGACATTTTATTTTCATTTTAACTCCTATTTTTGGAATTAGAATTCTTATTTTTGTACATTTTTTATGGTTTACTCCTACTTTAGTCTTTTATCTAAACTATTTTGACATTCAAAATTTTTTATAAAAATTTGAAAAAAGAAAAACAAAGTTAAAATTTTGAAATAAATAAGATGAGAAAAAATTGAGTAGTAAAGGGAAAGGTGAGGGGTCTTTTTTTCTCCGCTCCTTTTTTATTCCCCGGCATTTTTCGGTGATTGTTTTCCTTTTCAATTCCCTCTTTATTTTTTTCTATGTAACTATTTTATCAATAATCTTTTAATATAGTTTAAAATATTGATGTTTTCATATTTTATCATGTATATTAATATACAAAAATTTTGTATGATTCATACTAGTATTAAAAAGTTGAAGAAAACATAACTACGAGTGTGAATCGTAAAAAAAGTGAGATAAAAAAATGAAATAATTTATAAATTATAGCTACGAATATAATAGTTGTAATAATAATAATAATAATAATAATAATAATAAAATATATTATGTTTAGAGTAATTGGTTGGAGAGTGAAAAAAGCTTGAAAAAAATGAAAATAGTTAGAAAAAACTAGGAAAAACTAAAAATTAAGAACTCTAGATTATATTTTCATGAATTGTTTTTGAGCACCTCCCTAAACACTTCATAGATATGGTTGAATAACATATTTATTTTGTTCACCTTTCTCTTCTTTTACCGATGTGGGAGGAGTTTGCTACCCAACAGTAACTTAGCCTCTCACTCTCTAGTCGTATGTTTGATCATTAGTATATATTTACGCTGTAAGTTATTGAATAAAGTATCAAAAGCTTCATTTGTTCATATTATATTGTTGATTTGTTAAACTTAATGTGGTGGTGTAGTTAAACCATTTAAAAATGGTGTGTTTCCAATTTATATACACTGTATTAAGTTTTTATATTACTCTATACATCAAATTTAATGGATAAACGAGAAATAACAAAAAATTGTATAAACATAATTATTAATTAATTAATTAATTCTAATATATCTATTATATTTTTGGGGCGTTACATGCCTACCATTACTCTGCATAATAAACTCTCCAATCATGGCATGAGTTCAACTCAGGGAATATTCCCAAAGATTTGACTTTTTGATATACCTGCTATGGATCCACCTAACCCAAAGTACATCTTTCTTATCTTCAACATCCTAATTTAATTTTATAATAATTTTCTTATTCCCATTGATGATATTCTTTATATCAAGACCGCCATATTTTTTAGGAAAACAGACCATCTTCCATTTGCGCTAGAGGTGTTCTCCTATATTCATAAAATCCTCCACAAAGGAAATTACTACAAACACTTAGAATTCTGTTTAAAATCTTTTTAGGGAGGAGGAAAATCTTGGACCCGAAAGTCATAATTCTCACAATCAGCAGCTTTTAATCTAGTAGTACTAAACAGGCTACAAAGATATGTAAAAGGGAGGTTAATTACCTCTCTGCATTTGGGTCAGATTCAGAAAAGCCTCCTGTTGTTGAAGACTCACCCTTCCAAATACCACCTGAGATTTGCTGGGATTTATTTGAAGGCTTGTAGCTGCTTTAAAGATGTTTAATGCCTTCATGATATTTTTTACTCCCTCCGTCCTAAAATAGATTACAATATTCCCTCACATTTTTGTCCCCAAAAGAATTACAAAGTCAATAACTTTACAAGGAATTGACTCTTTTTACCCTCCCACTCCTACATTATTCACACACTATTCATCCATGTGAGTGGGAATGATACTTTGGGGATTTGGGGGAGTAATTTAGGGAAAAAAAATTGATTTGACTCTTCCTTAATTTCAACAAAAAGGGAATATTGTAATCTAAAGTGGGACGGAGTGAGTAATAGAATTCTCATCTCCTCTGCCAACCACTATTAGCCACATGTTGCATTAATCTTGTCCAGTATTTCATAATCAAAACAAAGTATAGGAGATATAAGGTCACCATGCCTTAGCCCTTTTTTCCCCATAAAGAAACCCGCTTCAAACATTCTTAATTTTATTTGTAGAATTATTTTTAAGTAATAAAATACAATGGTATGATTTGCCATTGTACCATACTATTCTAAAATGACATAGTACCAAGTAACAATGGTTTTTAAAATCAAACCGTTTAAATAATAATCGCAAGAAGTGTCACCCAAAGGCCTAGATTTTTAAATTGTCTTAGGTGATGGTACATGACTACAATATTACTCCCTCCGTCCCTAAATATTTACAACATTTGCTTTTTCAGCAGTGTCAGGAACTTTTGTTTATTTTAACGTTTTCATTGATTATTTGATAAAATAAAATATTTTTGACACCTCTTATTTCGAAGAACTTTTCATGTAGTTTTTTTATAGAAGAATTTACTTAAATAGCACTAAACATAATGACTTTCCCTGAATAGCACCACATGTGTTTTTCTTCCCAATGTAGCACTTTTAGTCATTATGCATTAGTCATTGTTTAAGCAAATATTTGTCATTACTGGACATTATGGACATTATTAAGTACTCCGTACTATTTAGAAAATAAAACTGTTTAAGTGCTATTTAGGGAAATGACTTAAGTTTTAGTGCTATTTAGTGCAAATATTTCTTTTTTATATGTAAATTTTATTTTTTTATTTCTTTACCAATATGTAAATAAAATGAATTAAAAAAACTTAATATTTTACTTCGGAAATATAAGTGTGGCAAATAATTTGGGACGGAGGTAGTATTGTTTTTTTTTTCAAATTCAAAACAAAAACTCTCACCAAGTCACGAGTTGGGTACCGAAGTAAATAAGCACATGAATGACTGCTCCGTATTGTTTTCTGGAGTCTGCGCTCCGCCGTCGATCTGCTTCTCGTCACAGTTCATCTCGGCCATCTCCCACAAACACTAGAGATTCGCCGCAGTATTGCACTCTCATGCGGGTTATCATATTCTCTTATCCTGTATGAACTATTGAAAGAACGAAGGAAAGCGTAGAATCCAGGAAAAGGTAACTTGTTTATGCAAGCTCTTATTAATCGAAAGATGAAGATTCTATATATGTTGCTGTTGGTTGGGGCCATTGCAGCTCTCTTTTTCAACTCCATTGAAGCTGATTCTGAGGTAATCTAGCGAAAGGGAAGCGACCTTTACTTGAGCATGAGTTTAACCCAATTAGATTCTCGATTTTTTCAAATTAGCATTCAGACTTCAATTCTCGAGTGTTAATTGTTCATGATATGTTGTGCATTGTGAATTTTTGATGATCTATCTCATTGGTGCTAGGCTTTCAATGTTAGGTCAATACAACTTCCAGTAATGGTCTTGATGCGGCGGATGTGGAATCTTTGATGAAAAATGGTACTTCCAGTGGGAAACTAGGTCAGATAAACAATGAAAATCAGAAGACTAGTGATTTGGTAAAGGGCAATTCGAGTAAGCATGTAGTGTCGATGGAAGCTGAGAAAGATGCTGGAGCTAATGTTAGAAGTTCTGAGAGTAAGAATGACAAGAAAGGCGACTTTAAAAATGCTAGAGATCATGCTTCTGAGGACCATGATGATGATAAAGCGAAGAGTGTGGGTGGATTGGGTTTAGACTCTGGACATGGGGTGACACTGTCAACTGAGAGGATGGATGGCAGCATCCAAGGTGAACACTGTGATTCTTCATCATACAGCTGCAATATCGAGGAGGAGTCTTTGCTTGCTTGTTTAAGGGTTCCAGGAAACGGTACATGACTTACATTTTGAGACCATTTTCATGTGTGTATCCATAGAGCATTAATTTCCTTATCTGTTTCGTTAGTTGTTTAACATAATCAATTTGCCTTTAGGGGACTTGTATATCGTGTTTTGGAAAAGTTAATTTCTGTTGTTTGAATTGGAAAAGAAATGACGGGAGCTCCATCTATTTTATGTCCCAAAATGGTAAGAAATTGGAGTGAAGTTTTTGTTTACTATCCCAATAACCTATATGTTTGATTCAATTCATGTACCACCACTAATTTATACTCAATTTTTTTTCTAATCTGTTTTATTGATCTCATACTCTCTTTTAGGTTCTTTCCTTCCACTAAAAATTAAAAATTAAAAATTCCGTATAGTATGTGGAGATATCTTTCTTTGAAGTTTGAACTTGGTGTTGGCTCCTCATCTATCCTTACAAGGTTCACTTTCTTGTAGAAGTATGTGCTATTTTGCTTTTTTGGCACTAAGATTAGCATATCATTTACTCCATAGGGCATCTGTCTCAGGGTTATCTGGAGTCCTTCAATTGTCATTAGTACATGAGGGCTGAGAAGGGCCTTCTCAGTGAATTCTATTCACTCCCCCATATGTGTGATGAGATGAAGAACATGTCTCATGCTTCTTTCTGTTTTTCTGAAATATTCCTTTGTGGATGCAATATTTGCAAGTTAAACAATTCTGGTTAATATAACTTCAGATTACATTTTGTCTCCTGCCAGAATCCCCAGATCTTTCACTATTGGTCCAGAACAAGGGAAAACGCCATCTAAGTGTTACTATATCTGCTTCTAAGTATGTTGAACTGGAGAAGAGACAGATTGAGCTCAAAGAGATGGAAAACAAAAAGGTAAGGTTACCCAACCTTTAATGCATCCATTATACACTATGGTACTCTTTGGTGTAGTGTTTGGAATATTCTATGCCAGCTTTTGATTGCCATCTGAAAACAATAACAATTCAAACTTTACGTTCACTTAGCTAGTGTTTGCACTTTGCAAACTGGGAATTCATTTTAATTTTTGGACTTCAATTCTAAATTTTGAATTCATAGATTTCAAACTACAAGGAAGAGTGTATGGATTTGTAATTGACCATTGTTGGGAATTAGAAGAATTTGGCTTAAATAGTTAAATTCAATATTTTTGGGATTCCTAAACATGTAATTTTGGTCAAATATGAATTTGAAATCCAAATCTAAGTTCCCAAACAGGCCAATGTGGTTAAGCATTTCCTCGGTCTGTATACTATATGCACCTAATGCCAATTTTAGGCCCCACTTTCCAATATAACATTCATTAGCGTTATACTTCATCCATCCCAAAATAAAAGTCCAATTTACTATTTATAGGGTCAACCTTTATTCACCATCTTTGCGTATTTTCATTACTTATTTGATAAAATAATGAAGTCATGTCACCTTGTCACCTCTTTTCAAGAAATTTCTTCCCGGTTTGACCCGACACACATTTAATGAGCGCTAAAAAATCATTGACTTTTCACATTTACCATTGGATAAATAGTGTTAAATAAAGTGAATAGTGTAGATGAAAGGTGACAATTTGATAGCTAATCATTAAAAGTGGAATGGTAAATTTGACATTTAAGTCAAACTTCTTTGCCATAAAAACAACAACCCAGTTTGATAGCTAATCATTAAAGGTGGAATGGTAAACCATGAATTCTTTTTGTATTTCAACTTTTTCCTCTGGGTTTCCTATTTTCTTTGTAGTTTTTTGTATGCCATCGAGACCAGTTATTTTATTTAGCCTGTTCATCATTTGATCTAAAAGGGAATGCTGTGCATTTTGAAAACTCACTCAGCTTGAATTTTCTTGAAGTGATGTCCTTCATACATAACTGCATATGCCATGCTGCAGATTTAATCAATTTTCAATATTGCTTTTCTACCTTTGAATTCATAGATCAGGAGGGGTTTAAAAATCATAAACCAAGGATTGTAGATCTTACCCTTTTTTTTTGTATACATAGGCACATGCATCATGCATGAAAGATAACACGAACAAGGACAATAAACTAGAATACCTAAGGCGAAATCATTAGAGTATACTAACTTAAATTCATAAGAAACAAAACTTGACACCGGAATATGGCTAACATAACAGTAACTGCAGGTTGATCATCATGGTTCTGTTAGTTTAAGACTGAAGGGTAAATTAGTATAACGAGTGTGAGGTTACAACATCACTTTGGCTGTAGACCCGTTAATATGGTTACGTCATTGTTTCTTCTTCTGTGACTTTGCTTGACCCATGAACTATTATTTATATTCTTTTAGTTGATGTACTGAGTGTTGGAGCGAGGTAAGATAAATGTGTTTTTTAAGACTCAATTCCCTTTGATGACGATGATTCTATGGAGTTCTTCTCAATTTTTTCCTCGTCAATGCTTCCTTATTAGTTGATGTCCAATACCCAACTCTGTTTGGGGTTTTTATTGTGATCCTTCTCCCTTTATTTTGTTCCTTTTTTTATTACTTCCTTTATTTTGTTCCTTCTTAATTCTTCTGTATTACTTAAAAATTAAAATCAAATCCCTTAATAGATGACGCTACATATTCAAAACTTCTTCAAAACAGAGAAATATTAACACTGTCCTATAAGAGCAAGTGAGCAACAACGACCACATCAACAACTTAGCCTTAATCCCAAACTAATGGGGGTTGGCTACAGCCCACATGAACTGATATAGGGGTCGTGCATTCGACCCCCCTTACCTCGCAATGGACGGGAGCCTTTGAGGCACTGGGGTAATGTTGTTGTTGGCTACATGAACTGATATAAAATCCATGCAACCATAGGCTCATAGAGTCCCAATGCTTCTGTGTCCCTTTTTATACCAAATCATTTTCGGCTTAATCCAACTTCTCCATATGTTTTATTTCTCAAGATTCTCCCTTGCTTTATCTTGATCCTACACCCACTGTACCCTGGATCTTTTCAATGAATCTAAAAAGGGAATGCGATCAAGATTTAAATGGAAGGGGGTTAATATAAAATGGAAATCTTCTGCGACTTCTCTCTAAAAAGAACCCCAATTGATTCTTTTTCCCTTCTGCTCCTCCCTAAATCATCTTTCTTAATTCAGAAGTAGACACTAAGATATAACAGAGTGAGAGCTCAGTTTGCACACTGTGCAACCTCTAAGGACATGTTAATTTAAAGAAAAAATTTGGGGGCTCTTTTTCCATTTCTAGCTAGGATGCATGCAGATAGTTGATTTCTGATCAAGTTCCAAAAGTTTAGTGAGGTTCACATAATTTTGTTTCAACTTCATGAATTGTTATTAGCACACAACTCTTTATTTGAAGAGGTTTGATCAATTGTTTTCACATTGCAGATAAAGGTTTCCTTCCAAAACAGCAGGAGTGACAACTTGGTCATTCTAGAGGCAGGGAAAGGTAAGTGCGAGCTCGATTTCAGGGATTTGATTGGGCATAACACAGTCAATGAACCTGGCGACACGTCCCACTTCAAACACCTTTCCTTCTCTTCATCTGCAATGGTAATCTTCTTGGCGGCATTGCTTACGTGTGCCTCAGTCTGGCCATGCATCAATTTTTGCAAGAAGAACGTTTCCAAGGTGGGTGGCAAGTATCAGAAACTTGATATGAAGCTGCCCATTTCGGATAGCGGTGAAATTGAGGCAGATGTAAGTGATGGGTGGGACAAGAGTTGGGACGACAACTGGGACGACGTAGAAGCACCAAAATCACCTCTCACCCCAAGCCTCCCTTCCAAAGGCGTCCCAGTGTCTAGATGGTCTAACAAGGAAGGTTGGAAGGATTAGATGCTGGCAGTGAGTAAAGTAGGCAATGCACTCATTGTTAGTCTTCTCTTATTCTTGTTTTACCCTTGTTAATGATAGTAGCCAGTAGGACAATTTTATTAGTACAATATTCTTAATCTCTCCTTAGAAGTTACTCGGTAGAACATATGATGTTTGGATATTCTGGTTTTCGTTTACAATTAGGGGTTGTGATGAAATCCGGTTAATCAAAATGGGGTTAATCAGATATCAGTTAACCAAAATTTTGGTCTGATAGAATTGAAATTAAAAAAATCACCCAAAACAAGAGCAAAATATAACTATAGGAGTGTTATATTTGTCTTTAAAATATGTATTGCACTGTCTGCGAGACTAGTAGGCTAGGTAGGTTTATTTAGATTTTTATGAATTATTGAAACAAATGAGCCAATATTATATCTTTGGGCCTTGAGCAATAACTCATATTGGGCTGGGCCAGCTTTAAATATGATCTACGGACTTTGTCCCAAAATAATCGTCTTTACTTTGTTATTCATTAGTCATTTTTTTCTTTACTTATTTAGTCAATTATTTGTATAAATAAAATAGTCATGTCAATGTTTTTAATAAAAATTTGATGCGATTTTTAATATGTAAATTTATTTTTAGACTTTGTACTACTTCCCAATTTATAGTGTTTGTTTATTATTTACATGATCAAACTTCATTTACTTTCTTTAACTACCCCACCCTATATATTTATATATATATCCCATATGCAAACTATACCATCTACGGAGTAAATTGGACAGACCGACAGAGTACTATTGCCGCGAACAAGAAGGGTTGATTATGGGAATCAGTTACGGCAAAAGAGTACTACTCGGATAGCTCTTCCCCACTTTGCGGCAACCATGAGACCACCTCTCACATCTTTAAAACTTGCCCAAAAGCAAGACAAATTTGGAATGTTGTTGACAATGGAGGTATGGGTTGTAATGGCGGAAATGAGGAGATGGGTTGGCGACAATTTTAGTAGACAAAAAGGCAGACACGACAACAATAATTGGGCTGCCACTTTTGTCGTTACATGTTGGTGGATTTGGAGTTGGCGAAACAACATTGCCTTCGGTGATGATGATCTTGACACCTTGTATAAAGTGGCTTGGATTAAGGGATCAATCACAGAGATTGAAAGGGCATTCGACAAAAATAAGGTATCAACCCCCTCTTTAATGAATACAAGAGATCCTCTGCTAAAATGAAATCCAGGAGTTGATCATGAATTCTGTTAGCCTAGTATATTTGTATATGTTTGTTTATTATGTATTGGGCCAAATAAATCATAGGCCCGAGACTTTATGTATATATATCGCGACTCCCGTGTAACTAATGTAAAAAGCAAGTTTTACACTTTTACGTAAATCAGTTTCTACACGGTATCGGAGCGATCCTAAGGCTATTCGTCAAACCCTTGCGCTCACGTCGTTGGTACGCCGTTGTCTTCTTCCGCGATAGTCTCTCTCCCTCGCTGGTCTTCCGTACGATTTTTAGGCCACCAAGAACGTTGGCTCTGATACCATGTTAAAATTCCGACGGGCCAAAAATAAATTCCATCCCCGAAGTGTCAAATGTGTGTTTCTCGGTTATCCATACGGTACCAAAGGGTGGAGAGTCTATAATCTTGACACACGTCGTTTTTTTCACACGAGGGATATTTCATTTGATGAAACCGTATTTCCGTTCGCCATCCCCACTCCCTCGTCTGGCTCTCAACCTCTCCGTCCGATTTCACTGTCCCCCCCGTCCCTACCCCCCCTGTCGTACCGGCGACCCAGCTGGCGTCCACCAGTCCAGTCGTCCAAGTCATTCCGGCGACCCAGCCAGAGTCGGCCAGTCCCTCCACATCTTCCGATGACGACGACAGCCCCGAGTCTTCCTCGGTGGAGACCACTTCTCCATCGCCCATACTTCCATCCCTTCCGCCTCGCACACGTCGTCGTCCGTCCCACCTTAACGATTATGTTCTCAATACTGCAAAGATTGTCACTCCGGCTCCGATATCCTCATGTTCTTCACAATCTGGTACTCGGTTTCCTATTACTAACTTTGTTCATTATTCTAAGTTGCATGACAAGTATAAGGGTTTTCTTGGAGCCATTGATGCCACCTCAGTTCCCCGTAATTTTCGTGAATCTATTCAGTATGCCTCTTGGCGTGAGGCTATGGCCACTGAATATTTGGCTCTGGAGCGGAATCATACTTGGGACGTTGTAGATCTTCCTCCTAATCGCCGGGCTCTTGGTTGTCAGTGGGTATATCGGACCAAATATCATTTTGATGGCACTAAAGAACATGATAAAGCAGGTCTTGTTGTTATGGGCAATCATTAGGAGCTGGGCGTTGACTACACTGATACTTTTGCTCCTGTTGCCGAATTGGCAACCGTTCGTGTTTTGTTGTCTGTTGCAGTGGCTCGTGGTTGGTATGTTGATCAGTTGGATGTCAATAATGCTTTCCTTCATGGGGATTTACAAGAGGAGGTCTATATGAAAAATCCTCTAGGTTATACTCAGCTTTTTCCAGGGAAGGTTTGTCGTCTTCGTAAGTCCTTATACGGCCTTCGCCAGTCACCTCATAATTGGTTCACTAAGCTTCGTGTGGCTCTGCGGCAATATGGGTTTCGTCAGGCCCATGCCGATCATACTCTATTTGTTCTCCACCGTGGCCCTGATATGGTGGTTGTCCTTGTTTATGTTGATGATATTTTGGTGGCAGGTAATAACAGGTCCTTGTGCACTTCCTTCAAGAAATATTTGGATGATTGCTTTCATCTAAAGGATCTTGGTCCGGTGTCTTAATTTCTGGGTATCGAGTGTGCTAGATCTCCTGACGGTATGGTCTTGAATCAACGTAAGTATGCTCTTGACATTATTGATGAGGCAAATCTTCTTAGATGCAAGCCGGTGGACACGCCCTTACCGGCCAATCATAATTTAGCTCGATCCACCAGTGCTGGGATTCGTGATCCTTAGAAATACCGTCGACTTGTGGGCCGTTTGTTGTATCTCACCATTACTCGTCCTGATATTTGTTATGCTGTTCATACCTTGTCTCAGTTTATGCAGGCTCCACGTCTTGATCATTGGAATGCTGCTCTACGTGTTCTCCGTTATATTAAGGGGCACCCTGGTCAGGGTATCTTGTTGTGTAGTGACAGTAATCTTGCCCTTACTGCTTATTCTGATTCTGATTGGGCCAGCTGTCCCCTTACTCATCCTTCTGTTACTGGTTATTTCATTTTGTTGGGTGGTTCTTCGGTCTCATAGCATACTAAGAAGCAAACTACAGTCTCCAGGTCTTCTGCCGAAGCTGAGTATCGAGCTATGGCTAACACATGTGCTGAAATCCGATGGTTGCGTGGTCTCTTGGTGGCCTTAGATGTTCCATGTGTAGTGACTCCTCGTTTGTATTGTGATAACAAGTCTGCTTTGTTCATTGCTGCCATACCAGTTTTTCATGAGCGCTCGAAGCATATTGATATTGATTGCCATATTGTCCGAGAATGTCTTCAGCGCAACCATATCGTCACTGCTTACGTTCCTACGCGTTTTCAGACGGCAGATATCTTCACAAAGGCTCTCTCCGGTCCTCTTTTCCGCTGCTTATTGTCCAAGCTGGGCATTCATGATATTCATGCTCCAACTTGAGGGGGAGTGTTAGCCTAATATATTTGTATATGTTTGTTTATTATGTATTGGGTCAAATAAATCATAGGCCCGAGACTTTATGTATATATATCCCGTGTAACTAATGTAAAAGGCAAGTTTTACGTAAATCAGTTTCTACAATTTCACTCTTAATGTTGACGGAAGCAATAAAGTTATGGCAAGCAGGGCAGGGTGCGGCGGAGTCATTCGCAACAATAGTAGAGAATGGCTTGGTGGTTTTTCCTACAGAACTAGACCAAATAACATCGAGGAAATCGAGGCTAAAGCCATTGAGAAAGGCATCCAATGGGCATGGGGTAGAGGGGTGAGGGATCTTGAGGTGCAGTCTGACGCTAGAGAAGTTGTCAATTGGATTACAAGATCGACGAGTTTGAGGGGACCCATCAGCGATACCATTATAGCGATAAAAAGTTGGACTGACAGATTTCATAAAATCAGCTTTAGAGCCATCTTGCGTGAACAAAATAAGGTTGCAGATCGTCTTGCTAACCCTTGAGCTTTTCAAGACATTTCATGGAGAACGTTTGAGGTCCCTACTACAGATTTGGAAACTTTGAGTACTGACGATATGATGAGGGTCACTACTACGCGACATGGTACCACCACTTCATGAGGCTACTAGCTCAGGGTCTCCCCCCTCCTTGTTGATAAAAAAAGAGTACTACTCGTCGCTGGAAAACTAACCACCACCGTTGGGTTGCCACTACCGAGTTTACCATCATTCTTGGTCATTCGTTGGTTGTCAACTCATTTAATTCGTCAAATTCATCGAGGTGAGTACATGGACATCTAACGCTAGATTATTTGTATAGGTTTGAAATTAACGTTCATAATCTCGTATGATTGATTATGTCGAATTTGATAATTGTTTGGGAGAGTGAGTTTGTGGGTTTGTTCTAGCGTAGGATTCATCGTTAACATTAATTTATATACATAGCCAATCATAGATTCGTTTATGTGAATTGCTTGAATATTGTTGTGTAACACCCTAATCCGTCCAGGTCTGCAGTCCTTTCGGTTTAAAGTATTAACTTGGTAATCGTCAAAATTTAAAACATTTCAAACACTATTATTTATCACAATAATATTTTTCATAATATAAAGAGTACGGAGTTTTCAATATTGCAGAAGCTTAACAAATCATAATGCAAACATAATTTATTTATGTTCTTTAATTCAAAACCATCACATCTATTCCGACAATCTCGCCTCCGTCTGCCTCCAGGATCACGTCACTTCATTCCTTCTATTATCCTGCGTGTAGCAAATAAAACATACTACACGCTCAGCGTTGAAGCTGAGTAAGCATATCTAATGCGTCGAACATCCATATAAACTGAATCTAAATTCATAATCAAATCATTTGATATGATGCACATAATGTTCAATTCAGATATTCAATAATCATTAGTCAATATTCATCATTCATTATTCAACATTTATATTCACATTCAACATTCATCATTCTTTCATAATATTCACAATATTCAATTCAATAAGCATCATTCAATATTCAATATTCGACAATATCCTTAAACTGTTCTTAGTCTAAGGTCAATCACTTTAATGTTTATCAACCCTTAAACAAATTCTAGTTTAAATAATTAAACTGTATTCCAGTATAAAGTACTTCTAAATAATCCTTAAGCTAGGCCTAGTTTAAGATAAAAGGGTTTAAAAAATCTTAAACTTACCTTTACTTAAGGCCAACCAGAAACCGACAGCGTAGTGTTCACTGTTGGGTGGGTGGTACCCCCAAACGAGTAGGTACTCAAGTTTGATTCTTGGATCCCGTACGTACGTTTTAACCCTAGCCACCAGGGTTCATACCCTCAAGGCCTAACTTAAATGGGTATATCTTAGAGGTCTTCTAGATACCTTTCAAATCAACATTAATATGAGTATATCTTAGATATCTTCTAGATACCCTTAACAATACATATTATTTTCAATATATTCATTATGATTTAATCATTCATAATTATCATTTTTAATAAGAATATTAATGAAGAATTAATCATCATAATCATCAATCAATAATCATTACCATAATCATCAATCACCATAATATTCAATAACAATTAACAGCCTAGCTTCGAGTGTTTGCACCCTAACTTACCGTCATGCATCACATACCATTTTTATTTGTTAAAAACATCACTTTTATTGTGAAAAATCGTTTTTATAATGATCATAATCAATTGGTATCAAAAATAGGATTTTAGAGTTCAAAAATAGCATTTTTGGACAAATTTTCGGATTAGATTTTCGGGGGATCGATCCAGCCCTTTGGATCAATCCACACTAGAAGAAAAAATCCCAGAGGATCGATCCAGGACATAGGATCGATCCAGACAGTGGTTTTTCAGCCACTGTTCATCTTCTTCAACCTTTGGTCCATTTTTTGGAAATACCACATTTAGTCACCGAATTTCAACAAAACTATATGGAGATGTTCTCTAAGGTTCATAGATCATTTTGGCATCATTAATTCATAGTTTTAACATCAATTTTATGATTTATGATTTATGATTCTTGGTTCTTTAAGCATGTCAAACACAAAACTCAACCAAATGACCGTTTATGAACGTAGAAACGATATATACGAACATCCTATCACTAGATATATCTACGGGCTTAACTCGAAGGTAAATGAAGGTTTTGAAGATTTTAAGGTGAAACTTCCGGCAAGGATTGTGGCTATCTCCAGTGACGGGAAGCTCTCTTGACAGCACTTCTTCACTCTCTACACTCTCAGCTATCTCTTGGAAGAAGAATGGTGTGAAATGGTGAAAAATTAGAAGATTTATATAGGAAGGAGGAGTGGGAAGAAGCCATGGAAGACGACCTCCCTAACACTGTTTTGGAGTCTTAGTGGAGTGGCTGGCGGATTCCTCCGATTCTAAACGCAAGTCCCTGATTGGGATTAATTTGTTCCGAGTCGGGAACACTTTTTGTCCAACTTTCTCTGAATCAAAATATGTTTGCACCGTTGCGATCATACAATTAAACTCTATCCAAAGATATAATTTTCATATTTATTTAGAATACTTTTTCCGACATCATATTTTTGAGTGGTTGACTTTGACAAAGTCAAAATTGATTTATTTGACTTTACTCAAAAAGGTTCTTACATTTCATTCATATTATTTATTCTAATGATTTAATTCAATAAATAATTTCAAAGTTCATATCATAAAAAAATTTCTTCATTTATCCTTGATTTGGGTCTCTACTCAGGTTTCCAATTAAGGTCACACAATAAGTCAACATATTGAATTTATCTCTATGAGCTTTGTCCAGATTTTGATATTGGATATTAAAACATACTACGTATTTCATTTTGGCCCAAAGCCCAATAACAATTATTATTATTATTATTAGTCAAAACAATTTGATTACTTGATTATTTATTTATTAATAATTCTAGGATATGTTTTGGGGCGTTACATGTTGTGATTATGATTTATTTGAAATATAATATTATTCAAATTGATTGGTTGATCGATGAAGGACTTTAGCAATTTGATAAAATAAAATACTATTGTCACTACTAGTTTTGTATATCTTTTGATATAGTATTTTAATAATTTTTATTTTTGAACTCTATATCATTTGTCATATAAAATGATTTGAAAATAATTTCAGTCAAATATCGTTAACCGAAACAGGTACTATAAATTGGGATAGATGGAGTATTATTTATAAAAATTAGATTAAAAATAAATTCAACGAATTCTCGTTATTCGGAGTAATTACTCCCTTCATTCCTATTTAATTATCTTGTTCGCTTTTCAAACTTAAAGTTTGACCAATAATATCTCTTAAAATATATTAGAAAAAAATTATTAAAAATAACACATTTAAAATATTTCTCGATGCCAATAATTTGATATAATTTTATCTTTTAATTTAATATATATTTTTATATATAGTTAGTCAAATATTTGACACACAAAACAAAATGGACAATTACATAGGAATGGAGGGAGTATATTTTAATTTCAAATGCAATATGGAGTATATGAGTTGTTCATTTGGAAATGAGTAAATGTCATAAATGGTCTTTCTTTTGTAATGAGAATTTATTTCTTTATATAGTCACTAAAGACGCTATATGAGAATCTCTTTATTAAACCTATTTATGATATCCTCTGTATTTTTTTTAGAAAGAATATTAGGGCTTGTTTGATGAGGTTTGAAAGAATGATAAAATATGTGATTTGAAATTATGATATAGTTAGTGATAGACGAGGGCGACTGACAATGAAGATGGTTGATATTGACAATGGTATAACCGGTGGCAGAGAACAGTCAATGGCCATGTTTGGAAAATGGCTTTTCGGATAACTTTTGGCATGTTTGATTGACTTTGCCTTTTTTGACTGAGTGAACAACCAAAACCATTGTTTGGCTAATGACTTTTTCACTTGACATTTTGATTCCAAAAGCCAAAATCTAAAATGCTAAGGAGAGTAGCTTTTAGACTTGGCTGTTAGGAAAATTAATTTTTTTAAACTCATTTTTCTTGAAAGATATTTTATAATATATGTAAAAACTAAAAGTCCTCTTCCAAGAGGCACCGAGCTCTGAGAAAAGGCCTCTTCCTTGAGGCACCAAGTCCTCTTCCAAAGAGGCACAATGTCCCGAGAAAGTCCTCTTCTAAGAAGCCCAAATCTCTGAGAAAAGTCCTCTTCCAAGAGGCACAAAGTCCTCCTCCCCAAGGCACCAAGTCCTCTTCCAAAGAGACACAAAGTCCCAAGAAAGTCATCTTCCAAGAGGCCAGATCTCCGAGAAAAGTTCTTGTAATACATCAAGATGGGAATGAGAAGAGCTCAAAAGAATTGATAGTACTACTCATACCAACAAGGTGCATCTTCTTTTCGAGAGCTCATCACCTAGAAACTCCAAAGTTAAGCGTGCTTGACCTGGAGTAATTTTAGGATGGGTGACCCCCAAAGAAATTCCTTGGGCGCGCACGAGTGAGGACAAAGTGTGCGGGAAAGACTTGTGTTGGTTTGTGGGGCCAGTCTATAATCCTATGAGGAAGGTCTATGGGTTCAAAAAAAGGATGCAACGAGGACGTTGCATTCCTAAGTGGGGGTGAATGTAATACCCCGTATCAAGATGGGAATGGGAAGAGCTCAAAAGAATTGGTAGTACTACAACAAGGTGCATCTTCTTTTCGAGAAGAGGCACCAAGTCCAGGGTGGGGACCGGGGTGTTTACAGTCCTCTTCCAAGAGGCACCGAGTCCTCCTCCCCAAGCACCATGTCCTCTTCCAAAGAGGCACAAAGTCCCATGAAAGTCCTCTTCTAAGAGGCACCAAGTCCTCTTCCCGAGGCACTAAAAAAAGAAAGGTCTTCTTCCAAAAGGTACAAAGTCTCGAGAAAGTCCTCTTCCAAAGAGGCACAAAGTCTCGAAAAAGTCCTCTTCCAAGAGGCACTAAACCCCAAGAAAATCCTTTTCCAAGAGGCTCAAACCCCTTAGAAAAGTCTTCTTCCAAGAAGCACAAATTCCCGAGAAAAGTCCTCTTCCCGAGGCACAAAGGAAAATTCTCCCACCGAGTCGTATAGTTCTGAATCTGTCTCGTTCCCCGAGACATACTCAAAACTAGGGGGCATGTGATGGATTAGTGATTTGAAAAGTATAAGAAAGCCCAATTTTATCTGACCCATGATATAAATCAAATAAATTATTCAATACGAAACCAGAGATATATGGACAGAAAAATATATTTGAAGTAATGTAAAAATATTCAGTGGAGCCGATATACAAAACATGTGCACATGGAGGTGACATGGCCACCTAAATGCATTGTTGGGGATGCATGCATGTACTCTCCTTTATAATGGGCATTTACACATCAAGGAGGAGGACGGAAGATGGAGGCCAAGGCAAATCCCTACAACTCCTTACTAATATTCTTCTTCTCTTTAAGCTTGGAGCTCCATTAATGGCTCCAAGCTCCTACAATGATGTATATGTAAATTCTCCCGAGATTAATAAAAGTTCTTCCCCTTTGGCATGACACCACCTAAAAAGGCTCGTGGTTTTCTCCCGATTTGGGTTTCCACGTATAAATACTTTCTCTCCACTTTATTTATTTATTTATTTTTTGGATTTTGCTATTCGGTGCGGTGTCGACCCGATACCGAGTTCATCGGGTCGACGCCCCGAAAAAGCGGTTTCCATCAACTCCATATAGTAAAGTTTTAATTTTTACATGTAAAAAATGAAAAATAAATATCGTGTGTGTCTATATATATACTCCGGTCAAACATACCTGAGTATATTTTACCACACATTTTTAACAATTAGCAATTCATCCTACAGGTCAAACCAGCTGAACACAATAGCTGGCACGAATTGACAACAACCAATATTTGACAGCCAACATCCAAACAAGGCCAATAGTTGAGAGAGATATCAAACTAACATATTAATATCTCCCAAATTTGGGAAATATCGAAATCCTCCATTTGGAAGATTTATGATATATCTTGAAATATCAAACTCGATATCTTTTTTGACTTTATCGAAGACCAAAAAGAAATTTGACATCAGAATTGATGAATATCCTTGAATGAATTGTTTGTCCATGCTTAAAACATTTTTACCTACATTTTTACAGGCTTCTTGCCTTCCTGTGAACGGGGGAGGCAGATCGCAGTGAAGAGATAGGAAGTCGGAGTCCTCAAGAAATTCGACTGAGGAGAAGGGTGAAGAGAGATGCTGTTTCAGGTGGGCGGGGAAGGGACTCGTCCCACCTTCTTCGAGATGGCCGCCGCCCAGCAACTCCCCTCCAGTTTGCGCGCCGCTCTCACTTACTCCCTCGGCGTACGCTGCTCCCTCTTCTTCTTCTTCCTCGCCCCAATTTAAGGGTTTTTGATTTCTGCTCCTCCATTTTCGTTGAGTTTACTTTTAGGTTTTGGCTCTGAGAAGACCCTTCTTCCACAAAATTCTCGACTTCGAAGACGAATTCTTCGCCCTGCTTATGCTTGTCCTTGAAACCCACAGTTTACGGACCACTGGTAAATGCAGATTCTAATTTTATACACTCCTTTTTGGTCAGCTGAATAAAGAAACTTAGATTGCTGGTCTCATTTGATCTCTTGTCATATTTTTTTATTTTTTTCCTCTGGGTTTTGAACCACTAACAAATGTAGGCCTCATTTGGTTTCATTCTTCTCTGGGTTAATTCTTTATCTCATAATCAACACCAACAATCTATGAATTCGATATTCCGAATAATCAAATTCTGCAACACTATGTTTGTTTCAAGGAATTAGGAAGGAAAAGAAAAAAAAATGTTTTCCTCTCATTTTCATCACCGAAATGGAAAGAATTTTGTTTAATTCCTCTTATTACATTCTACTTAGAATCTAAAACAAATGCAACATCAATTGATTCTAGCTGATTTTGAGAATCGGAATGACAGAATCTACTGAAAGAAACTAAACCAAATTGTAGATTCACATTTAATCTGTTTATTTACGCTTATTACTTTATATCCTCTTTGTTGCGATTACTGGTCGGCTGTGTTTTGATGTTTGTTCAATTTGTTGATGTGCAGTGGAGCTGTTTGTTTATTTTTGCTTATTACATATTTTGAATTTGGGTTCTGTCAGATGCTTCATTTGCTGAGTCGTTGTATGGAATGAGGAGGAGAGGTGTTAAGATACGAGTTAAGAATGATAATGAACACTTGAAGTCCAGTGATGGAATAATTCATCATTCTGGGTTGGAGAAGCGCCAGAAGATTCTTTCCGTTGCATTTCTCGTAAACAGATTTCATTTATTTTTTCTCATCTTTATGTGGTAAACTGGAAGTGCAATGAAATGTTTTTTATTCTTTCCATTGCATTTCAGAGTAAATTGTTTCTATCTCGTCTCTCAAGACTGAAAGTCGAATACAATATTCCAAACAGCCTCATATTCCTTGAAAATAGGTCTAAACATTTTCTCACAGGCAGTGATATGACCTATTGCCTTTGCGTGTAGGTCATATTGCCATATCTTAGGTCAAAGCTGCATGCAGTCTACAACAAAGAAAGAGAGACTGCACTTCAAGCTAGTTTATGGGGTGAAGGTGATGACGCGTTTGCCAACACGGACAATCTTGACACTGGTGCAAATTCTCGGGTTTCTGTAACAAGTAGCTCTGATACAGAAGCATCTGCAAGAGAACGATTGAAAAAGAGAATTTTGAAGTGCATCGCTGTTTGCTACCCATGGATACATGCAGGAAATGAAGGTTGGTCTAGGAAGCTCAAAAGATTTATGACTTGTGATCAATCTGTCCCAAAAAAAGAGTCTTGTTTCCATTTTTTCCCATAAAAAGAATCCAGTTTTATCAGCCGAGATAATTCTACATGAAATTTTTCAACAAAAAGGCAAAAAAGAGTAAAGACAAGTTACGCATGATGAATTCAGCTAATCCCATAAATAAGTTTGAAAAATCTAAGTATCTTTAATGAATTATGATAGTTGTTACCTTACCAAAATTTAAAAGTTGCACATCGGTCAAACAAGATTAATTATTTTGACAGAGGTAGTAAATAATAGCCCAGTGCATCTGATTTCCCATGTGTTTATAGTGAAATCATGTACTCGACTTAACTTCTTTCTTCTTCAGGGTTATCATTTGCTTACCAGCTGTTATTTCTACTGAATGCTACCGGGTTCTATTCTCTAGGACTGCATGCCTTGGGCATTCATGTTTGCCGAGCTACAGGACAAGAGTTGGTATGCCAGTTCATGCAACTTTATTCGCTAAGACCTCTTTCATACATTTGATGCACATGTCCTCAGTTTTGATAAGAACTGCTTTTGCAATGTGTTTCTAAACTTTTGTTTAGTTTTCTTTGTTTGTTTGGAATTGTTCCTACATGTCTTTAATTATATGAAAGTTGTGTTTTAAATTTGGAAGTGGGAAGGGGATGAATTCCACTCTTATATTGCTTGGATGGGTTAGAAGAGAGGAATGGAAATGAAAATTTTAAGAGAGACAACATTACTACCTATTGTGTATCTTACTACCTTACCTTTGGATTTTAAGTTTTTTTTTTCCATTGTCAAGTTAGATTGATACTTCTTCTAGAATTTCTAAGATAAGAAAGCATGAACGTGAGAGGCTCCGTGGCCCACCATGGCTCAAGGTACGTGTTAAGTTCTCTTTGGTTTCTCTTAACTCTCTTTATATATGGGAAATAGGTCTCTGTCCCACAGTACCATGGTTTGTGGTTTTACACCCTCTATTTGTTTTCTTTGAACACACCACAGAGTGGGCTGCAAGCAGAATCACAATGAAAAGTATATCATAGATCCATGGGATGCAAAACTTAATAGAAATTACCCGGTTTGAAGTACTCTGGGGTGCATGTTCAATGAGAAACATTGGGGGCAAAAGTAAAATATTGGGGTAAAACTTGGGATGCAAAGACCAATTTTCCCTTTATATCCTTGCGTTATACAGAATATCTGCCATCTTTAGATCCTATTGCCTAAAATCATCATTGTTCATTGACAATTCTCAATGTCTCTAAAGAAAAAATTACCTCAAACAACTATATTTCAGAAAATACAAGGTGGATTGCTTGGCTTTGCATATGCTGCTCTCGACTACGCTCAAACCGGACTAATTGCCGCAGTATTTTTCTTTAAAGTACATTCCGTTTACCTTTTCCTATCAATATTCCAAAATATACTGTTGTGTATATTTTCAAATTCTTTTTTCTACACATCCAATCTGCTCTTGTTATTATGCATATATAAACTCAGATGATGGAGTGGTGGTATCAATCAGCTGAAGAGCGAATGTCGGCCCCAACCATTTATCCTCCTCCTCCGCCACCACCAGCCCCCAAGGTTAATAATCACTGACAAGCTATTTAAAACTTTTCAAGGGTTTTTATTCATTCAGTCTCTGTTTATCTGTCTGTGAGTTGGCTTCTTCTTTAAACAGGTTGACAAAGATGGCATTCCTTTGCCCCCAAACATGACACTTTGCCCTCTGTGCTCTCAGAAACGCGTTAACCCCTCGGTAGTCTCAGTTTCTGGATTTGTCTTTTGTTATCCCTGCATATTTAAATATGTCTCTCAGGTAAAAATCACCTTGCTCTTCGCGCCATTTACTCCGTATTACGTTACTCTTACAGACAGGTTTCAATATGGTTTAACTTGAACCTGTGTTTTACTTGGCAACATGCAGTACAAACGTTGTCCGGTAACACTCACTCCTGCTACAGTGGATCATATAAGGAGACTTTTTCATGATGTATGAACATACATGATGTGAATTCTGAAAAATATTGTTGATTTCTTAATGTATGTGCAAAAAAGTAAAAAGGGCATGGAATATATGATCAGATAGCGTAATTCTTTGGGGAAGATTTTGGGAAGTTTTCATTTGTACAAAGTATGCCAAGTTCATAGGCATGAGATAAATTTTGGGATTTATATGCATACTAGGCAGTAGTAACTGCTGTATTAGCCTTCAAAAAAACTGTTGTATTATTTGATGAATTGTTTTTTCGTGATTTTAAAGTCTATATATGAAACGTGGATTTTCTCACATTTTTCATAGGCTTGACAAGTGAATATTTTTTCTTTTTTTGCAAAAATTATAATTCTTTCTTGGTGTTTATATATTAAAGTGCATAAAATCAGTTTGGACTCCAGGATCACATAAAAATTTGCCTTATTTATTTGATATCATGAATATTGTCTTAAAATGTTCTTCCCAGTTACTATTCACACAGTCAAACTTTAGTGGTTGCTTCTCTGTGTTTATAAGTCGATTAAAACTACTTATAAGTAGTTTTTAATTTATAAATCGGTTGATGACATGTTTGTTTGTACTTATAAGCTGACTTATAAGCTGCTTATAAACTACTCCCTCTGTCCCATTTTAAATTATCTATTTTTTTTCTCCATCCCAACATAAGTTGCATGTTTCTTTTATCGTAAACTTTTAAGAGTAAAATACATAAACTATCCCTAAAATAAGTCGCTCCTTTTCACTTTATCTTTTTATTCATCGTCACCCCTCCTAAAAAATAATGACAATTTGGAAAAGTCAACTCTATTTTTTCTCTTTTTTAAATATGTCCCAAAGTCAAAATGGGCGATTTAAAACGGGACGGAGGGAGTAGAAAAAATAAGTATGTTTTAACTACTTATTTTTAAGTCAATTTTTTTGTTTCTGTGTTTTAACCAAATTATTTACAAAATTGTTTCTAACCATTTATGAATATTTCTAAGTGACTTATCTATCATTTAAGTTATTTTACTTCTATGAAAGAATATTTGACTTATAAGTAGCTTATAAGTTAAAAATTGTTAATCAACAACAAATCAATAAGACTAGCACTGAGAAACGTTTCCTTAATTACTTTCTTTACCTATTTTTATTAGTTATTTGATAAAATAATATAAAATTTTGTTATCTCTTGCTTTGTACTCCCTGCGTTCCAAATTAAATTGTTGTTTATTATTTACATGGTCAAACTTCATTCACTTTCTTTCTTTATTTTTGTTAGTCATTTCATAAAATAATTTAGGGATTTAGGAGTACTTTCACAAAAATTGGAGAACTTAGCGCTCTGTTCCGTTTGCCTGGTTTGATTTGATATGATCTAATATTTGGAAGATATAGTTTAATCTTATTGCAATTATATTTAAAACTGCTTCTGATCTTACTTTATCTTATTTGATTTAGTCTGATTAAATCTAGCCTGAACAAAAGGTAGAAAGTAAAAAAAAAGGAGTAATTAGAAAAGAATGACCCTCGAGCATAAATTATTCACCGTTCTGTCACCACTCATTTATAATGCAGACACGTTTTATTATAACCCTCAATTAACCATTTACCACCACCTCAAATTTTACTGCTCCTTCGTGTCTGAATAAAATTGAGCAATGCTAGAGAATTGTTACAAACTTCATAAATTTACTACTTCTGGTTTAAATTTTCATTTTAAAATTATTTTAAACTACTTAATTTTTTTGAAGTTCATAAATAATAAGTTTGTGAAATTTGTGACCATTGTGTTTGTGTACCAAACATTTTTCTATACAATTTACATGATTCTTTTTGAACAAAACTCAGAGTACTTAACATCCACAAAATGTAAAACATGTATAATGCAAATTTTGGAGACAGAACAATTTATTAAATAGAGTGGGCGTTGCACAGTTGACAAAATAAGAGGTGTCAAAGAGATGACACCCGAGTTTGATTTCTAGCAATTGCACTTTTTACCAGCAATGCTAAATGCGTCTGCAAGTACCAGGTTGCCAAACTCCACTATTTACCACCAATTTATGATTAGAATGTAATTTACGTCTGCATGCATCTGTAAGTACTAAGTGAAAGTTGCTAGACTCTATTTTTTACCACCGATTTCTGATTAAAACGCAATTTAATTACTTCTCTCGTGTGAACGGTCGGACGATCCCGATAGGTTCTCAGTAGTTTTTTTTTGGGGTGGGGGGGAGGGGTGGGGTGGGGGTGGGGTAGAGAAACCAAACAAGTGGTGAAGGGGAGGGTGAGACGTGTGGATTGGGAGGGATGTCGGCCCTCTTAAGAGGGACCTGAGGAGAGAGTGAGACTGCATGCATGCTTTAAAATTGGCACATGTAGCCATACCACACATCATTTCACCCATCACATTAATTTAACACTCCATGTTTTTGTTCCTTGATGTTAATTAGTATGATGATGATGACTAAAAGGTGGGTGCAACCGTGGAACAATTCACCTGGAACCTGACTAGAGATTTAGTTTTTTTAATGGATGTAGCTAGGAGTGATATTACAAGAGAAAGTTGTGATAACTTTAAAAAATGCCCCAAATAACTTACGGAGTACAAGAGAAAACATTAGGAAAAATGAACAATTTAAAAATTAAAAGAATATAATATAAAAATAAAATATTTAGGATGATAAGAATAGAATATAATAAAAGGAAATCATCCAAAAGAGTAGTAAATCATACTCCCTTCGTCCCATAAAATCCTTCTTTTTGAAAAAAAACGCATCTTTAAAATGAGTAACTTTGGAGTTATTTTCTAATTTTGTTCTTACTTTATAACTGAGTAGGATGAGATTTGTAGGATAGATTAGTCATAATTAAAAAATAACACTAAAATTTCTCATTTTAAAGACGCGCTTGTTTTTAAACAGGAAGAGTTTTTATGGGATGGAGAGAGTAATATTTATCACAACTCGACGAGTTTAAGTTTGGTGGATCCAAGGAATGCAACAAGCCCCGACTAGTTGTATTGGGTAATCACTAACTATTGGGTACTGATTACAAGCGGTTACAAGGACTCACACCTGAAGATCGTGCTCGAGGTTGTTGTCGACCATCGTCTCTGGATCTAGCATGCGTATTACGTAGTTGCTGGATTGAACAATGACCTGAATGTGTTGCATGAGTCCCCTCTATTCAATGATGCATATGCCAGTCATGCAATTCACTCCCAATGGTCGATAATATAACATGGGATATTATTTGGCGTATGGGATCTATCCACGTTAGCTAATGTTTGTAAAAAACTCTGTGTCTGAAAAATTCAAAGAGGGCATTGTTCGAACAAAAACAAGAGTTAGTACAGAAAGATGTGAAACATGCACTCATAGTCCTCTAAGCACGGAGCGCTCAGAGTCCTCCAAGCACGGTGGCCTCAAGATTTGCATGTATTATAATGCATAACATGATAGTCAAAGGCGAGAGAGCCAACGTTACTCATTTTATAAATGAGGGGGTCGCATCCACTTCCAGGGCATTTATCATCCAAGGTCCAGCGACTCAAGGACCACCTCATGATTTACAAGATTTTGCAAATCAACGTGCAAGTATGCGTGATGAACAAAACCATGTTATCATCAAGGATGATTGATCGAAGAAATTTGGAGGCGTGATGAACGAAACCATGCTATCATCAAGGATGCATGATGAACGAAACCATGCTATTTCAGTGTATTTCATTTTCTATTTCGATGTTTTTTTAAATAAAGAGTGTCATTGTTAGTATTTTTATTTTAATTATATGTATTTTTTATAAAAAATTGAAATTAAAAATGATGAATAATGTAAAAGAAACGAAGAAACGAGTTTTTGAGGGTGATAGCATTGCAGAATTTTAGGGTGGAGCTGAAAATTAGTAAGTGTTTGTGTGGCATGCAATGGGACGGAGGGAGATTGCCTCCCATTGTAAATGCTCTAGGTTACTCTCACTCCCAAGCCGGGGAAAGTGTGCCTATTGCAGAAGTCTCTTTATGAGTTGCAAAACTCCCCTTGCAATTGGTTTACTCACCTTCTCTTTCACAAGTAGACCAGATCACGCGCTCGAGTATCTGGCCCGCCTGCAAAATAACGGGCTTGGTCTGGACACTTTAGGGTATGGGCCGGGTTTGGTCCTTATAAATATGGAGGCCCGAATATTTTAGGACCGTGCTCGAGTTTTATGCTCAAGCCCATAGGGCAGGCTAGGCCGAAAAAATTAAAATATTTATTATTAGTTCAATTATAATAAAATAACAATAACAACATTAATAATAATAAAGGACAAAACTATTTCAAATTATTATAAACACACAAATAAATTATAAGTATATATAATAAAATGAATACATCTTTACTACTCCGTATTGTTTGCAACGTATCACACGTCAATTATGCTATTCTAATAAATAATATTTCGTACTCCACACATAGTAGAAATATCAAATAAAATACATTTATATATTAATTTTTCTTTCATTTACTCATTATAGCTATTATATCAAATATCTAATATATTAATTTGTTACTTTTTTAAAAAAAAAGTTATTTTAAAATTATTTAGAAGTTTTTGTTAGGCAGGCCGGGCCGGCCCGAAGCCTGTGGGTATCTATATAGGCCGAGATTGGGCTTCAATTGTTTGGTCCGTTATACGGGCCGGGCTCGGGCCTAGAAAATTCTCAGAATGTAGTGTCTTGGCCCGACCCGAAACCCGGTCCAGCCCGCACTTTGATCAGGTCTATTCACAAGCAATACAATGATATTGATATTAAATGTCATATTATTCGTGAATTTGTTTAGCGGCAAAACGTTTCTACACTTATGTCCCTACTCATCTTCAGATTATTGATCTTTTTATTAAAGCTTTGTCCGGTCTTATATTTTATTTGTATCATCTAAATTGGGTATTCGTAATTATCATGCACCTACTTGAGGGGGGTATTAATTGTGTAAGGTCATGTTCTCTTCACCTGGTGCGATTGGTCCTAGTCTGATTGGAATAAGTTCTGATCTACTCTAATATGATGTAAATGTAGTTATATTTAAAGCTATTTCTGATCTGGTCCAATCTGATATGATTCTAATAAAAATAATAATAAGTAAAAAATAAGTTGAGAAAAACATGACCTAAGTATACATAGGCGAATATTGTTTGTAATTTGGCCGTAGCTAGGGTGTCACCGTGTAACGTGTATGTGTGTGTGTGTGTGTTCTATCCCTATGAATAAG